TGGGGGGGCTCATCCTGGAGAAAAGGAGGCTCAGGGGGGACCTTCTGGCTCTGCAAGTCCCTGCCAGGAGGGGGGAGCCGGGGGGGGTCGGGCTCTGCTCCCAGGGAACAGGGACAGGACAAGGGGAAACGGCCTCAAGCTGTGCCAGGGGAGGCTCAGGTTGGATATTGGGGGAATTCCTTCCTGGAAAGGGCTGTCCAGCCCTGGCACAGTTGCCCAGGGCAGGGGTGAAGTCCCCATCCATCCCTGGAGGGATTTCCAAGCCCTGTGGATGTGGCACTTGGGGACAGGGGTGGATTTGATGTCTCTGAGGGCTTTTCCAACCTAAACAATTCTGTGAATCTTCCCCCTCCATCATCACCTCCCTTCTCCTCATGCTGCCTCTTTTCCAGCCTTTTCCCATCCCAGGAGAACTTAACGGGTTGTTCAGACTGTGCTGCTGTTCAGTCTGAGAAGGGGAACAACAAAGATCCAGTTCCAATGGGATTTATCCATCTATCCATCCATCCATCCATCCTGCAGCCCCCAGGGGAACTGATGTCTTCCATCCTGACTGCCAACCTCCCCCTTTCAGGAGGAGGGAAATTCAACATTCCCACAAGCTCATTAATTGCCACTGCTGGTGCTTTGGCAGGAGATGGGGAGTGCAGGGAGGACTGGGGAATTCCCCAAAGATATTCCAAGTTCTTCCAGCTGTGAATGGGGAGATGACATGATGACAAGGGCCAGGCCAAGCAGAACAACAGTCCTGAAAACTGACAGTCCCAAAACACTGGCTGGTGCTCGGGGCTTGGATGGAGCTGGGGATTTAAAGTGGGAAAGGAGCCTGGGTTGATGTCTCCCTCTGGAGAGGACAGCGTGGTCCTGTCTGCTCATCTCCAACAATCAGGGAAACGAGTGGAGAAACACAAAGGAGAGTTTCAGGGGGACCTCTGGCCACCAGCCAGGCCTGCTGCAGTGTCTGAACCATCAGCCAGGAGTTCCCTGAGGTTTTTACCCTTAACTAAACCAGAGCTTTAAACCTCTCACCAGGTGGGGTAGGTTTGGAGCAACCTGGGATAGTGGAAGGTGTCCCTGCCTGTGGCAGGGGCTTGGAATGGGATGATCTTTAAGGTCCCTTCCAAGCCAAACCATTCCATGTTTCCATGGAACTCCCCAGTATCTCCCCAGGCTCCTCTCAAACTGTGACTGCCAAATATCCCAAAAAAACACAATCAGAGAGTTTCACTGCTCAGATTCCAGCAGGAAAAACACCTTCAGAAAGGCCCTCAAAGGTCCCCACTGCTCTTCCAAAGGCTCCAATCTCACGTGCCACAGGTAAGTCCAAACCTACAGTGGGATCCACGTGGATTTGTTCAAGAACAGGAAGGGAAGGTGACAGGAAGGGAGGCACGAATAGAATGGAGAAACCTTGTTTTGCTGAGCCTGGAAGGAAAAGGAAGGGGGAGAGAGGAGGGAAGGCAGCAGGAACTGCACATGAGGGGTTATAAGGAGAGATGAGAAGCATCAAGAGCACCAGAATGACTGAATTTTCCATCCAACTACACGTGAGGATGAGGAAAAAAGAAAAAGCAACGACCCTCTTTGCATGCCTGCCCTCCCACAGGACCGACCCCCCAGCACATCTGGGAGATCCCACAGCACGTCTGGGAGATTCCTGAGGGAAAGCCAGGACAAGTGGCAGGGTCTGTAAAGGCTGGAGAGCCTGCCCCCCTCACCTGAGCTGTAGCTGTCAGTGGAGGACTGCGAGATGGAGCGGGACAGGGAGCGGCGGCCGATCTTCGACGGGCGCTTGTTGAACTCCTGCTTTTGGTCGGCAAACTGGATCTGGGGGGGGAGAAACCAGGGGGCTGAGTCAGGTGGGAAACACCCAGCACAAGATTAACCCCGAGAAGATTAACCCCCCAAAGCCTCGAGCAGACCCCGACACCGGCCCAGTTGCAGGCTGAGCCACAATTCCCGTTGTTTGTCGGGGACAGGACACGCTCAATTCCCAGTTTTGTTTAATTCCAGACCCTCCAGCAGAGATTACAGATGTCTGGCCTCTCCAGGCTGTTGCAGAACACAGGCATTTAAAAATATTGTATTTAAGAGCACACAACTTTACCCAGCCAATCAAGAAATTTAGGCTGAGCCATCAGACCAAAGCGGTTCTCCAGGCTGGATTTCCCAGGAACATCCACAATGAGCTGCAGCCACGGATTAACACCAATATTTGGTGGAGTTTTGCTCAGTGAAGAGCCAAAACCTGTTTCCATCTCTATCACCACCAAGGAATGAAGATTTCAGGCTCCCCCGAGACCCTGAGCACAGGAGATAAATATTTAAAGCCGGCAAAGCTGATCTGCTCCAAGCACACAGGGACAGAAGGGATAAGCAAATTTCCCATTTTAACAGGGAAATGGCATTTAACCCTGGTATTCTCAGGGGAATCGTTTTCTCTGGGCTTTGTTGTCCTCCAGCCTTTGGTTGCCAAGAACAGCAAGAGGAACAAATAATCAGTGTTTATTTCCTCAGATCCAGGTTTTCCCACGAGCCAAATATCTGCTCTTCCAGGTGATTTTAGAGTAGAGACTCAGCCCTCCTGTGTCCTGGATGTGCACCTGGGGTTGGACTTGTCTTAAGTCTTCCCTGCTCACATCAGCACCAACTCCACAGAGCATCAGACACATCTCCCAGCAGCTCAGCATCCCTTTTAGTTCATGGAATCCTGGAATGGGTTGGGTGGGAAGGGACCTTAAAGCCCACCCAGTTCCACCTCCTGCCATGGGCAGGGACACCTTCCACTGGCACAGGTTGCTCCAACCTGCCCTTGGACACTTCCAGGGATCCAGGGGCAGCCACAGCTTCTCTGGGAAATCCAGTCCAGCCCCTCCTCACCCTCCCAGCCAGAAATTCCTTCCCAATATTCCATCTAAATATTCCCTCTTCCCGTTTTCTCTGTAGGTGGCTACAGGGCCATATTTAAACACATCCTAAAACTTATAATTTGAGGAAATATTTCCACTCCAGGCACTCATCTCTTCCTGAGCCAGTCCTTGATGCCCCCACTACACCCACGATTCCTGTTAAATCTCAGGGAAATGGGAATTACGACTTCCAGTCGCTTGGACTTTGCTCTGAGCATGAACTGACTCGTTCTGGTGCAACAAGGGTTGGACATTTACATCTCCAAATTACTGAAAGCCATCGACTGGGTCTAATAACAACCGCCTCGGGGTTTCCTGAGGAGTTCTGTGTTGTTTCAAGGAGTCATTTAAGCAGAAGGAATCGGACCCTGTTCTGGGAATTCCAATTCAAGCTCCGTGGTTTAAGCGGCAGCGCTTGAGCTGGGAGAGGAGGGGAGGGGAAGAGCCTGAGAGAGGATCTGCAGCAGCACCCAGGAGGTTTCTTTCCTCCTGATCTTAAACCACCTGATAGAATGACACCAGATCAGGAAACACACCCAGGAAGAGAAAACCAGGACAAACTCAGGGTAGAGCCAGAGCCACAGGGAGGATTAACAGCCCGAGCCCGGCGGGACAGGGGCTTTGCACACACACACACACACACACACACCCCCCTCTAAGTTCCTTCTCTAAGAAACTGCTGGCCTGAAATAACACTTTTTTTTTTTTTTTCCTTTTTACTCCATTAATTTAAACCAAATCCCCCCCACGGCTGAGCAGCCCCCCCAAAGCATCAGGTGGTTGGTGTGGAGCGACGCTGTCGGTGCAGCGAGAGGGGCTGGGATCCCAACCGAGGGGGGGTCATTTGGACTGGGATGAACATTTCCCTTCCCCACATCACCCCTCCAGTGTGACTGTTCCAGCAATGCATCCATGGTGGTGACTCCGAGCTCTCCGAGTCCTTCCACACCCAAGCCCAGGCACAAGACCAAGCAGAGGAAGTCCAGAACCAGCTCGGGCAGAACCAGAACCAGACTTTATAGCAAGCCCTGCCCTCCACCCCTCGAAGGGTTTGGAGCCCTTTAAACCACAAGATGGGTTCGGTTTTAGCTGAGCAAGGAACCGACCCAAGAGGCTGAAGGAAGCACCAGGAAAGGGAAATGTTGGGAAGGGGCCGGGCCAAGGCTCAGATCTGCTTTTACCTGGTGGTGCCCAACGTCCTCTGAGCAACAGAGGGAGCGGGCAAGGAGGGTGGTGGAATTGCATGGAGTCACAGGACGGCTTGGGTTGGGAGGGAGCTTAAAGATCACCCCATTCCAGCCCTCTGCCACAGGCAGGGACACCTTCCACTGGACCAGGCTGCTCGAATCCAGAGCAGTCTCACAGCCAACCCTGCGCAGGCTGGAGCTCCGAGGAGAAGCTCTGAAGCCTCTGAGAGCTGCAGCTGCTTGGATTCAGGAGCCCAACCCGCTCCTGAGGATCTGCTGCTTTCAACTTCCAGCAGGAAAAACCAGTTCAAGCTGGAAAACCTCCCCTCCAGATGTGCGAGGTTAATGACTCCTAAGATCAGGCGTGTGCTCGTCACACTTCACATGAGCCAAGTCTCACTTCCACCTGGCATTTCTGCCACAGAACTGCCCTCCTTCACCGAGCAAAAGCACTCCCATCATCCAAGGTTTTCCGGGAGAATCTCCCTGCCCTCAACCCCACCGGCTCCTCCACTGCAGTGCTCCGAAGAACAACCCCAGAGCAACCTGTTTGGCTCAACTTCATCACCGAGAGCTGCTCCCAGGAGAGAATGAAGGGAGAGAAGCTCTCCGGAGATCGGGATCTTCCCTGAGAAATGAGAGAGCGGGGTGGGGAGGGAACAGCAGGGAAAGGAGGAGGAAAAGAACAGAAAAACGCAGTTCTGGTACTAAAAGAGAGCCCTCACCTGGGCTTTGATCCCCGAGTCTCCGTTGACGTTGTACTTCTTCTTGTTGGGCATGGTGGCACTGCCTGAGCGTCCCCGGGGAGCAGGGACTGCCCCCCATTTATACCCCGAGCCCTCCTGTGGGGCTGTGGGGTGGAGGCACAGGGAGGGCGGGGAGGAGGCCGAGGGACCTGCTGGGCTTTGCAGACTCCCTCCTTTTTTTTTTTTTTTTTATTTTTTTTTTCCCCTCTGGCAGGGAAGGACCCCGAGACTTAATGAGGCGTCCCCGGCAAACAAGCCCTGCCTGTGTTCCGTGTGGAATTACAGCCCCTTCCCGACCTCCAGACAGTCGGTTTGAACGTGGCCTGGCTTGTGTGTGCATAACAATGCCTTATTTATGTAACCAGAACATTTCCCTGCTCGCTATAATTAACTTGCTAATTAAGCTCTTTTAACTCCGCTTCTCCCCCCCCCCCACTTCATTTTCTTCTCCCCCCACTCCCCCCCCTCCCCCCATGTCAGATGGTTTTGTTAATGGAGCCTCATTAGAAGAAAATTAACTAATGAGCAACTAAAACAACGAAGGCATTTGGTACATGGCAAAGTGGTTTTTAATTGTGTGGGTCCTGGCTCTGTCCCCCAGGGCTGCAAGTGCACAGTTTGTCCTTGGAAGGGTCCACGCTCCGACACCCATCCCGCTGTTCCTGTGCCAGACCTTTCCTCTTGGGATCATGGAATGGGTTGGGTGGGAAGGGACCTCAAAGCCCATCCAGTGCCACCCCTGCCCTGGGCAGGGACACCTTCCACTGGCTCAGGTTGCTCCAGCCTGGCCTTGGACACTCCCAGGGATGCAGGGGCAGCTTCTCTGGCCAACCTGGGCCAGGGCCTGCCCACCCTCATTTTTCCCATTATTTTTGTTCCTCGTATCTGGTCTCTTCCCACCTTGCAGGTTCCTCCTGCAGCAGGAAAAAGGCCGTGGATGGAGCAGACCCGATGCAGGGCAACTCCTTCAACTGAGTGGCTGGGGTTGTTACCCAAAGATTTTTGTCCCTGACAAGTTACCAAGGACAACCCCCATAAGGAACCTCAACATCCTGCCCAGAGAAGCTGTGAAACCCCAAGGGAGACACTTGAGTAAACTGGTGAAAAGCCCTTAAAGGGGGTACAAAGCCCACCTTGATGGTGCCACCCAAAGCCCAACTACTTTCCCAGTAGGTTGTCACGTCAGAACACTGAAATCAAAAGGCTTTTCCTGGAACAAAAAAAGCGACTTTTTTACATTTAAGATTGAGACGCCAAAACTAAGAACATCTATTCCCTAAAAATAAAAAGTTCCTTCCTTCACCCCCACTCCACAGCTCAGGAATCTTCTGGAATTCCTGTGTCGGTCTGGGTGACCCAAACAAAACCAGGGAGAACCAGTGTTCAATCCCAATAAATTGGTTTTGTGGTTGGAGCACCTTAAATTGACTCTTAGCCACGGATATTTGGGTTTTTTTAAGGAAACAAGGGAGAAAATGAGAGTTTTCTGTGGGATTAAGGGGCACAAGCTCTCCAGCTTCCAAATCCACGGGAAATAAACTTGGGAAATAAAGAGCAAGTTAGGGAGTGAGTTAAAATCCATCTGCTCAAGGATGAAACAGCAGGAGGAGGAGGGGGAGGTGATCTCCAAGAACTGCCACTGCTTGGTCACAAACTTTCCTGGGAAGTCTTTTCCTAGTGGAAAAACACATCATCTGTTGATGATGCTGAGAAATGCAATCAATTTCCTCGTTTTTAAACAAAGAAGGGTGAAGGTTGGAGGAGAATGGGCAGGTTAAAGGGGGTTTCACCTGCAGGGCTTGGGGTGGAAAGGGCAGGAACGAGGGGTCACCCACCTGATCCAAAGGGATTTCCAGGAGTGCTGGGGAGTCAAACCACTGATTCCTGGAGGCATCACATCAGTGCTGGCTCATGGAATGATGGAATGGTTTGGAAGGAGCCTTAAAGATCACCCAATTCCACCCCCTGCCCTGGGCAGGGACACC